GGAACATGTGAGTGTAGATCCAGAAAGAATCTGACACTAAGTAAATCATAATTATTCTGTCTTCTCAAACAGAATGCAGGTTACTTAGCACTCTGATGCCTGAACCATCTGTGAAAAATTAGTTAACTAATGAGCCAAAATACATTGCAGCTTCTATGTGGGTACAAGGTGTTAACAAAGTAAATGTATTTCTGTTTTTCTGAGCACATTATCAGCAATATGATTTTTGGGACCATGTGCTGAACATTATGTTTTTTCTTTCCTAGGAATCTTCATTTTGGTTAATTGTCTCTCCAGCTCCCAGGGAGAACACAGAACAGGCTGTACTACATCTTGACTGTACTTTGATGTAAGACTGAAAAGTCTGGGGTCCTAAATGAAGTGGGTTTTTAACAGGAAACATTTTCTGTTCACTCACAGATCCTAGGAAAGCTGAATTCTGTTCTATGGAACTTTAATGTCAATATTGCTCCTCTGAAGAACTTGCTGTCACAGATTGCTATCTCAAAAACCTCTCTAGTCCCTGAGTCCAGACCTACAGGGAATTTCTTGGGTTTTCTTTACCCTGTTTTGGATAATTTTGCTTTTTCCCCCTCTTTATGATCACTTGTCCAGCAGTGGAGAAGGTCTCCTGCTGGGTAAGTGGGTGTGTTTTGCAGCAGGGTGACTATCTTATGTCAGGCAGGATCAAGCTTGAACTCACTGCTGTTGAAAGGTGAAATTTCTGCCCTCCCATTACTGCCCTTCTCAGGCATGCCTAAATTCAACAAAATTTTAACATCTGGAAGCCAAAAGCTATTCAAAGCCAGATTCACATAGGAGGAAGAAGTAATTTCTTTTAGCAGTCCAAGAGACCAAACTTTCTGAAAGATTCTGATCTTCTGAAAAGGCTGTTTGCACCTACTACCACATGTATAATTACTTCTGGATTATCAACCTTGTTTTCATTCATTTGTGGCAATATCTTTGCATTGTTTGCCATGTAGAAGCAAGAAAAAGATATGGTGAATGCTCTTGTAGTTTCTCTCTAGGATTCTTTCCTAACCAGGTATCCAAAACGCAGGAAAACTGGTCCAGCTACAATGCCCAGCTTCTAAAACACACCTGATACAAGATAGACCTGGGTCACAAACCTCCTGCAATCCTGGCTCAGGGTTTTTGCTCTGTGGATGGAAGTGAGTGAAGATGGAGACTGAGTGAGAGGCAGGATGGCCATGCTGGACAGACGCCTCGGGGACGTCCCCTTGCTTAGGGCAGCCTCTCACGTGCAGGGCCCCAGGGGGAGAACAGACACTACATGAGGACCAGAGGGAACTACTGAGATTAAAACAACAGGAACAAAACAGAGACAATGGGACAAAAAATGGACAGGAACTGTTCCAAAGAAACACCATCAGATGGAAAATCAAGCATTCCTCCTTTGCCATTAGGCCCATAAGAAATTTGTTCTACATGCAGCCGGGATGAAAAAGAGGAAACAGAAAGAAATGTTAGAAATTTTTTGGAGTCATGCCTAGCAGAGGGATGTTTGGAGTTGCAAAAGTAAAATGATTGATGTGATTTTCTTTCTTGTGTTTTATTTTTCTTAGAAGTATGAAAAATGGCTCTTTCACATGCCAAAAATTACAAGACAGGTAGGATGTTCCTGTTTGTTTGTTTTTATAATATCGAAATCAGGATCCAAGACTGATGTTTAAATAAGTAATTAATTAAATAGAATCATCCCTGTATCCTAATTTCCATATTTGCAAGACTGAAAACAAACACTGGAAAGTGTGCAACAGAAAGCATCTCAAAGCTGTGAGAATATGTCCACCTTCAGCTGGAGGTACCTGAGTCATTTCAGAGCCTGAACTGCACTGGATGCAAGAATTGCCTTCTGGACCATCTGCACTGGTGGTGCAGGTTGTCACACCAGCTTCTCTAAAGATACTGCTGATTTTGGAAGTATCAGTTGAGTGTGAGCTGACCTAAGAACTGCAGTAATCAAAATCCTTGGGTCTTGTCCACTACCAGTTGATGCACCTTTGATTCTTTGGGCTGGCTTTGGCTTGGGCACTGTGTGACCAGACAGATCCTTCTGCAAATGGTCATCTGGTAATAATTTGGTTTCTAGAAATCCAGAGATCATGGATGAAACATCCCTGCACTGGGTTATGTTAGCAAACAGCTATAAGGCCACACATACACTTCTGGTCAATATGCTTTCATTAACAAATAACTCAGTAACTAATGAAATACATTGGAGTATCATTCTGGTTACTTAACACTACAGATCCTGAGATCGAATGGTTTGGTTTGGTAATCTAGTGGTTTGGTTTGGTAATCTAATGGTTTACTAAACAATTGCAACTCATGTTCCCCATGATTGTAACGTGAGGAACTGACATGGCTGCTGCCAAAAGAAACCACCCTTGTGCCATGTCCAAGATGACAATACCAGTCTGTGGACTGTGGCAATGCTCTTCTGAGCAGGTCAGTTTTCATGATGGATACTCATGTCCAGGAGTGCAGCTGTATGCAGTGCCCAGGCTCTGCTAACAACTCAGGCCTGGGTTTGTACTCTTAAAGAGTTTTTTCTTTTAGAGGAAGGTCTCTGAAGATACTTCACAGGTCAGTAGGCAAAGACATGTGGCAGCTGCAGGTCTGGGCTCAGAAATGCAGTTTGTACCCCTTTGAACTTGCTATAAATTTGGTTCTTGCTGGGATCTGAATTGACTCAGGGAATGAAAATGCCCACCCTTTGCAGGGTTTTTCAAAATGGACTTCCCACGTCTTCCAACCAGCATTTCGTTTTAGGAAACACCAAAATGCTTTCCCCATGAGAACTCCCTCTGCAAGCATGGATCCAAGCCATAATCCCATACTCTGCAAAGCTGTGCAGTTCACATGGCACAGGATTAGCGTCCCTTCTGGATAAAGCTCTGTGAAACCAATGGTTACACCACAGCAGCCCCCTGCCATCACCTCATACAGCAGACACATTCATAGCAAGTGGATCAGCCAGGATCCAGTTTCCAAATGCAGGGCTTGAAGAATTAGTCACTCCCATTGCTGCTCATTGGGAGCTGGGCATTTTACTTCCCTGCACATCCCACTGAATGGTCACAACCCTTTTTCCTCCACCTCCCCCACCTCCTTGCCGCAAGCTTTAGTGATTAACATGGCAATGGAGATTGAACTGTGTGCATACATTGATTTGCTGGGCGATTTGGCGAAAGGAATCAAATCCAAGCTACTTACCTCAGCGCAGAGCCCTTTGGCGTTGCAATACCATAGCCTTTGGAGTCCAAGTTACCTCCCACCTTCATGGTGTCGCAGGGCTTCCGCTGCTCGATGTACTCGTTCATGGTGGACTCCAAGAGGTATGCATACTTCCCTTTCGACTTCCTCACCCGGATCATCCCCTCTTCCGTCGTCCTCACAAAAACGGAGGGCTCGGCTGACTTCATGTATGTCCACATCTTCTCAAACACTGCTATTTTGGATCGCTGCGTGGGACAGCAGAAACCCAACAGAAGCGTTAACAGAGGTTTGGGTGCCCCCTGAGATTTCCAGCTTGGACTGAACACACACCCACACATCAAATGGGGCCAAGGGAGCCAAAAGGGTTAACAGGATGTTACCACTTCTGCACCAGGGCCCAGATCAATCCCTGATTTTCTGGTCCATATTTGCGTACAGAGTGATTTTGCAGATCAAACCAAAGGCAAACCAAGCTGGAAATCTGGAGACGGTTTCATTTGGAGTTGCTCAGAGCAGGTCCTTGGTAACGTGGGGAGGCTCATGGATATTCCGTATTTGTGTTCACAACTACAGAATATCACATGCACTGGAGTCACTGCCAATCTTCTGGCAGGCTGTAACATGGTGAGGGGAAGCAAGTGAAAAAAAACAGACCTGAGCTGAGGACGAGAGAGGATGGACCTGGAGGACTCGCCAAACAAGAAGCTAAGAAAAGTGTTTGCATTAAAGTTTCCTTTTTACCCTAAAAAATTCTTTAGTGGAGCCAGCTTCCAGGGTGCCATAGGCGATTTCTGTCTGCTTGGCCAAGTCCTCTGCGCTCTCAATGGGTGACACCATCCTCTCCACGGTGAGGAAGGCAGCCAGGTTAGCTGTGTAGGAGGATATGATGATCAAGGTGAAGAACCACCAGACGCCACCCACTATGCGGCCGGAGAGAGACCTGGACACAGAGAGGAGAGTCAGACAGGAGCAGGGGGAAGGTCTGAAAGGTGCAGATTGTTTTTGCAGGCCCATCACTACCTGGCCATTTACCCAAAGTCACATTCTCCAGCTGCTTCCAAAGAAGCCAGAAGTCTGTCTCAGTTCCTACTTTGCTTTTAAAGGCGTCGATGTAATTAGAATGGGGATAAATAAATTCACAGTGAAAAAAAAATTAGCAATAAATTGAGAGAATTTGCTTTGATTTTCAATTCCTTTCAGAGTACAATATTAATAATAAGACGTGGAGTTAATTATGAGAAAGTTTAGCTGGGCAGGGGGCAATGCCCATCAACAATGTCTCTGTTGAGGTCTCTGTTGTACCATGTACCCTGGCAGGAAGGAGCACCAGCATGGAACCAGAGCAGAAACACAGCCCAGCTGTGATCTTCTGGTGAGCTCCTCCATCGCCTGAAGTTTAAAACAACAACCCCTGTGTTTTTATGTAAGACATATTGAAGTTCAGAGACGAGTTATGGTCTTAATGAATAATTTGCCTACTGACATTCTCTTTTTTGTATTCAGCAGATGGTTAGACAAGATGTTCATAATAATGCTTTAAAATCTAGGTGTTTTGTACTGTCTGCAATCAAATAGCAAATTAACTGTAACCATTTGATATCTATAGAGGCAAATAAGTCAAGCAGGCATTAATATTAACATATTTTCAAATTTTTTTAAGAGTGGAAGATGATTTTAGAATGATGTCAGCATTAAGGCATTCTGTCTAAATTATTTATATGCTCCTTCTCTAGATGCAGAGTGCTGTCCCAGACAGAAGGGAACATATAATGCTGTTTGATAAAGCCAGACAGCCTGGCTAAGGAGGACCTGCCATTTATTTCTCCACAGGGAACCATGTTTCAGCATTGTCTTTCTGCTGATCTGAGTCACTCTGCAGAAATATGGTTTATGGGTTGGCAACAGAGATATCCCAGTCCAGCTAAGGGCTAAAGTTAGGTGAGACAAATGTGACCATCTTGCATCCCATCTGCAGTGAACACAGCCTGCAGGACTGTCAGCACATACAGCTTTACCATTTGTTTCATATTTGGAGAGGGACTGGGGAGGGAGGCAGCTATAGATTCAACTCACACATCTTCAGATTGATGAGGAAGAGGAAGAAAATTAGTCTGGATGATGTGTGCTCAGGGAAGGAAGCGCTCAGAAAAGGCACAGAGGCATTAAACAAAAGTAACCAGATAATGTCAAATACAACAATTTCTGCTGATGAAGGCCACTTTGAGCTGGCAAAATCCATTTGCATGGCAAATAATCACATTCATCTCCAGCTGCAAATTTTAAAGCCTTTCCTTCCTGATGAAGCTGGGATATTTCTGCGACTGATTTCCATCCCTTCAGCTGCAGTCAGCCGGATTCCTGCCTCCAGACCCTCAACATCCTGGTGATATTCACCACCAGCTAATCCCAGGGGGCTGCCTGCCCTCAGCTGCAGGTGGCTTGTGCTTCCCAGGTTCACACCTGGCATTGACAGCATGGAGAAGTAACTTTGGGGTGCTGAGCCTGGAAGGTAACAGGGAGGGCTGGGGGAAGAGGGAGAAGGGGCTGTTTCTTTCCCTTTCTTTCCCCAGGGATGCAGGCAGGATTCATGTGTCCATCATGGACTGGCTTCACCTGAGCTGTCCCTGGTGCTGGTGCTGGTCCTTCCTCCTCATGGCAGGAGGAGGGATGTGCTCACTCTCACATGCTCTGGGGGAAAGGAGAGGAGGTCAGCAGCTTGCTAGGGCTGCCAGCATGGCAGGGGCCTCGTGAGTGTGATTTTTGTTGCTGACACTGCTAGTGGGCAATGTTTGCCATCGTTGCTGGATTGACTTGGAGCTGGAAGCTGTGAAGAAAAACTGCTGAAATGCACAGCAGAGAACCTGAGCACGTGGGATCTACAGAACATGGCCTTTTGCTCCGTGGCTGTGCAGCACTTAGCACAAGGGAGAGCTGGCCAGTGATGGAGAATCTGGCGGGACAGAGCAGTTCAATAAAGAATGTAATGACAGTCATGAAGAACATCACACCAGCAGATGTGAACCCATGTGACACCCTGGCTCAGGAGCAGTGAACACAGGCTGAACAGAACAAGTTGGATTTCTCTTGTCTGTTTAGACTGAGCCAATGCCTGCTTGAAATGGTAAGTGCTTGCAAAGGCAATATCTGTTACCACCTTGTTCTGCTTCTTCTGTAGACCCAGCAGATGAACAGCAGTGCCTCCATCACAGGACACATTTGCAAAGTGCCTTTTTAATTTAGGAGATAATGTCTGATTTCTGACATTAGTGACTTCAACACTAGGAAGCTAAAAGCCTGTTCAAAAACCAGTGGGACTTAAAATTATGTTTATGCTCTAGTAAGAGCAGTCACAGAGGAGTAGATACATCTTGTACTTTGAAGTCACTGTGAGATTTTGAAAGTCTCACTCTGGAGCTAGGTAACAAAAAATGACCTTGTATAACAGAAATGTTATGCAGCTTGAGCCCTGGCTCAAGTTCTTCACTCTTCACTAATGGGTGCTGTGGGGTTTAAATCCTCTTGCATGAGGATGTGTCCCTGTACCTGTTCAAGTATAAGATGAAGGAATCAGCTCCCTGCTGAGTGGAAGGGAGTCAGTAACTCAGCCCCCTGCAGGGCTGAGGTGAGACTGAGCATCCTGGCTAGGACTTTAAAGATGTGCTAAGGTTCAGATGTTTGGATTTGTCCTTGCAAATAGCAGGGTCTAAATAAAATTGGACAAAAATAAGCAAGGGTAGCAGTGTAAGAGGCTTTCATGAATGGGGTGCAAAAAGGGGTATAATATCTAAATGAACCTGTGTTATTTCTTCTGCACCTAGACTCTTCTTTCCTACACAATCCAAAATAAGATATCTTGATTTCTTCTTCCATCCCTGCCTGTGCTCTGTAAAATACCACACCCCCACTCTTGTCCCTGGCTTGGGATCCTGCCTGTGCCTCCCAGAACTGGCAAGAACAGGATGCTCCTTTCCATCATTACCCTTGCAGGAGTAAGTTGTAAATACTCTGCCCTCATTATCCACAGCGCACAATCTACTTAAAATTAGAGCTGGCTGGGAACCAAGATTTCAGGACCGTGGAAAACTCTGAAATTGTAAATAAAACCTTAATATTCTCATTTGGAATGCAAAGATAACGGTTGCAAATGTCCTCTAAAAGTAGCACTCTGAAAATGGTTGTTTTGGGTCTGTTCATGCTTTGCTTTTTGCTATTACTTATAGTTTAATTTATGAAAGGCTAAATGGTATAATTTTAAGATGGTAAACAATTTTGTTTCTGCTTTCTCTTACAGATAATTTCCTTTCAGCATTTATAGTACATTATATCCTTACCTACTGCATATATAATTTAAAAGATAATTCTGAAATGTGCTATTTTAAATCTGCCCAATAAAAATACTACAGATGGCCAAGCTGAAAGTAATAATTTTGATTTTTTTACTAACATGACTTTTTAAAAACCTTTCCTTGCAAAAATAACTGCATTTTGCCAGCGGAACACAGAAAGGAATTGTAAGTTCCCTTTGTTCCCAGGAAGAGATTGGTTCTAATATTTTAGCCTTAGCATTGATGGATCATACAGAAATAGAAAATCATGCATCTATAATCTCATTTCTTAAAACAAAATGCAATCCTTGATCAAACAATTTTCTCTTTGATCTTATCCCTCATGGAAGGTAGGAAAAGCCAGCAAGAGTTTGCCTCTGCTTTGCCATCTATTAGAAGAGAACAATACATTTTTGCAAAAAAAATATTAACAAGATCATCAGAAAATATACAGAATAAACCTCATTGGAAAACTATTCAAGCACCAGCTCAGTTCTCTCCCACTTCTCCCTTCCCCCTCCCCAAATCCATTCCTTATGGAGAATTACACCTAAACTGACAGTGTTTTAATTAGAAGTGCAAATCTGGGATCCTGAAGCCATACTTGCTTTGGGAGGATTTCCCAGATTTGCTGTTAAATTCAAGTCTAATAAAGGCTCACTTGCTCAACTGACATATTTGTCACTGAATGAATTTATGCAAAACTGTTGAAAGGAAAGCTCTTCTGTTCTTGTGCTACTGATTGTGGGTCAAATCCACTTTTGGTCTTCTACCCACATTGAGCCTCTGATCTCCACCTCAACTCTGTGAATTTGATACTGATCTAGACAATTCCATGGTTCTGCCTGAAATTTGACTTGGTAGTGGATTAATTGCAAGCATTTTGTACCAGTTTTGCTCTTATTTTAAGCAAATTTTCAGTATTAAACTCTGTCAATGTAAAGAGCTTTGCTTTTCCTCTGTGTCACAGACCATCTGGCATGGTTGGTCTCACCACCTTACCTCTGTTCCTGACATGAACTCCAGATTTACTCAAAAGGCAAAGGAAGAAATTCAGTGTGGGGTTGTGGAGCTGGGATCAGCTCTGGGTGCATCCACCAAGTACAGACTGCAGAGCTCTTATCCTCTTTATGCTGCACCATGGAGAGTTTTGAATGAGCTCACAACTGCTTGCCACAAAATTTGAGGGATCATAATGCAAGTATCTCTGTTCATGCTGCATTACTAATTTTCTTGCCATATGAGTTTGCTTTTACTTGTTATTGAATCCCAGCTCCTGGTACAAGAGTTTGGAGCCCTGACTGCAGTGCTGGCTTTTAACATGCAGTGTCAGGAAAGCCCTTACAAATACAGAAGCAAGAACGTTTCCCACTGATATTCTCCTTTACCTCTCCCAGAGTACAAATTCTTTCTTTATGTCTCACAACTTTTCTACAGAGCTAAGAGCTGCATATTTTGGTTCCCCGTGGGTAGTACTGACCAGGGAGAAAGGGTAAGGAATTTGAGGGTGCACAAGTACTGGGAGTCCCATGCTGGCTCTGTCCTGTTTTCTTTATCTAATTCTTGTTAAAAACAAAAGGAAAAAAAAATTTAGGGCTTCTTAACTTTTGCACAT